GTGGGCTCAAATTCTCCTGCAGTCTCCCACTGGGTTGCCAAAGTTACGGAATTGTAGCGTCTCTGGAGAGTGCTCACGTGAATTCCGTGAGTTCTCTCCCCCACCGTCTCTTTTTTCACAGTCTCAGTTCAGTAGCACCACAAATTTACTAGGTCCTAATCTCCTGTTAATTTGCCCCGCCTAGAGTCAGGTTTTTCTGCTAGGCTCAGGGCCGGTGCAGACCTGAGGTTGCTCTGCTTATGACGTATGTCCAAGATGGTGCCTGCTCTTTGTCTTGCTCGCCCTTGAGAGGTGAGCGGAGAGAGAGAAACCCGTGTCCGTACCAGTCACCTCTCTCTCTTCCAGTTAGCCTGGTGAAGTTCCCCCCCTCCCCGGGGGTCGTTCCCTCTAGTCTCCTCTCTCCGCTTGCCTGCCGGTGTCTCGGGCTCACCTCGCGTTCCAGCGGCTCGGTCCCGCGGCTCGGCTTGCGCAGCTCGGTCCCGCGGCTCGGCTGCCGCGGCTCGGTCCTGTGGCTCGGCTTCCGCGTGGTGGGCGACCTTGTTCTCCCAGTAGGTCCTCTGATTCACGACCACTCAATCCAGAAGGGTTTCCTCTGCAATATTTTCCTGGTTCTTTTTTCTGAGGCTACCGTAACTCCCCTTTTATTAAACTAAATTTTCCCGGACTATCGGTGCGCGCCCTCACTATTCCGCCATCTTGGCTCCTCAAGTTCTGGATTCAGTTTTTAAATTCAATGTGCCAATATTTGTTTTCTTAACAGAATTTAATCCGTCTATGGCTAATGTGGTTACTGATAAAGGAGTTACTCTACCATTTGCCTAGTTGTTTTTTGCATTCATTAGAGGAGATTTTTTTTGTTCCTCAGTTTCTCCATTACTGTCTTTAAAAATTTTAGTTGATTTTTTGTAGTGCACAATTTTGATTTCCTTCTTCTTTACTTTTATGTGTATTTGTAATTTTCCTAGTGGCTATCTTAGGGATTGTAATTAAAAAATTAACATTTCAAATTTCCAACAATCTAATGTGAATAACACCTACTTAGTTTCACTAATAGAAACATGTTTTTCTTGCCTCATTTGTATTGTTATTGTCATATTCTTTTTTTTTTTTTTTGACAGGCAGAGTGGACAGTGAGAGAGAGAGACAGAGAGAAAGGTCTTCCTTTGCCGTTGGTTTACCCTCCAATGGCCGCTGCGCCTGGTGTGCTGCGGCCGGTGCACCGCGCTGATCCGATGGTAGGAGCCAGGTACTTATCCTGGTCTCCCATGGGGTGCAGGGCCCAAGTACTTGGGTCATCCTCCACTGTACTCCCTGGCCTGGAAGAGGGGCAACCGGGACAGAATCTGGCGCCCTGACCGGGACTAGAACCCGGTGTGCCGGTGCCGCAAGGCGGAGGATTAGCCTAGTGAGCCGCGGCGCCAGCTGTTATTGTCATATTCTGTCTTCATGCCTGTTACCTCTGTTAGCAGTGATGTATAGTTATTATTTTATGTACTTACTAGGTAATAGAGGAAACACAGACATTAGAAGCCATATCAAAAGTACATAATAATGTTAGTTTTTATATTTATCTATGTAGTGATATTTACCAGTGTTTATTAATTTTTATTGCTTTTATTTATTGTCAAGCATCTTCATTTTAGCCTGAAGGATTATCTTAACTGTGGATTTCCTTGAGTTTATACTGCTTGAAGTTCATTACTTTTTGCATATGTATATTCATACATTTTAAAGACCATTCTGCCTCCCTTCTTTTCCCCTCTAATTCTGGAACTCATATAGTATATATGTTGGAAAATTTAAAGATTCTTCAGTTTTTTTCTTTATTCTTTTGACCTTCTTCTACTCAAACCTGATCATTTCAAATGTTTTATCTTTAAGCTTGCTAATCCTTTCTTCTGCCTACTCAAATCTGCCATTATATTACTCCAGTGAGTTTTTAATTTCAGATTTTGTTTTTTTTCAGCTCCAAAACTAATTGGGTCCTTTTTTATGCTTTCTCTTTATTAATATTTTTATTTTGTACAAATTTCATTTTCTTGATTTAATTTTGTTTTATGTTCATGGTTTCTTTTAGCTGTTGAACATATTTAAGACAAGTGTTAAACATATTTAAGACAAATATTTTTGAGTAATAATGATATTGTCTAGGTTTCCTTAGGGATAATTTCTGTAAAATCCTTTCTTTCTTATGAGTTGATAATATTCTTCTATTTCTTGGTATATTTTGTAATTTTTTGGTTGAGAACTGGACAATTTGAATATTAAATTGTCCACTTGTGAGTTTTCCATATTTCTCTTGCAAAGTGTATTCTCCTTTTTGTGTATGGTCACTGAAATTTCTCTTCCACTATCTCTGTCCTTATATGTTCTTAAATTTTCTCCAAAAGAGGAGAAAAAAAACAAGTACTATCTCTTTAAACCACTTGAGGGGCTTCATCCTTTTGGGGTCAAAAAATTGGCCAACTTTATGAATTGAAAATCAGTGATCATCAATAAAAACACATAACCCCAAGTTTTGGAGCATAGTGTCTTTTGGTCCATTCTTTTATTTACAATTGAAGCAAAAAATGTGATCTGCTAACTTCATGGGTGCCTATCACAGGAGTACAGAATGAGGATTGATCATCCCTGTGAGAAAGGCAAAATTCATCAGCTTCTTTATCAGTTCCTCGCTTGGCTGCTGCAAACTTTTAACTAGTTATTTGTTTGGATTGAACTGTGTCCCCTTCCCCAAAAGATAGGTTGAATCCCACTTCAAATACCTGAAATATGACCTTCGTTGGAAGCGGCACCTTTACAGAGATAATAAGCCTAAAATTAGGTCATGACTGGTACCTGACCTAGTATGACTGGTATCTTTATTAAAAGGGGAAATTCGAACACAGACACAGGCTCAGAGGGAGAATACTATGAAGCAGACATATGCCTGCCTGTGATGGTGCTGTTACAAGCCAAGGAAAGCCAAGTGCTGCTGGTAATAACAGAATGTAGAAGGGACAAGGAAAGGATCCTCCCCTGGAGCCAGCAGACAGAGAGTGCCCTGGTCAACACCTTGATTTCAGATTTCCAGTCTCCAGAACTGAGAGACAATAAATTTCTATTGTTCTGAGCCACCCAGTTTGTGGAATATTGTTATGGCAGCCCTAGAAAATTAGGATAGTTACTTCAAATGTTTTTTCTATTGTTTCACTAATTCTTCAGGTAGAGGGATGGATTCTTGGAGCATCAGACTCAAATAACCATTCTTATTCATAACTTAAAAAAAAACTCTCTGCTCACCATAATGCAAACTTAATGAGGGTCAGGATTTTTGTCTCTTTTATTCACTGTTGTATCCTTAGTATCTAGAGCAGTACTTAACACAAAGTAGGCCATTCTTGAATAACTATCAAGTGGATTAAAAAATAAATGAGCATAGACAGGCGACATCGTCTCACCATGGTGAGGGAAGGAGAAGTGAGTTAAATATGATGATGGTGGGCTGGTGCTATGGCATGGTAGTCTAAGTCCCTGTCTGCAGTGCTGGCATTCCATATAAGTGCTGGTTGGTGTCCCAGGTACTTCTCTTCTAATCCAGCTCTCTGCTTATGGCCTGGGAGAGCAGTGGAGGATGGCCCATGTGCTTGGGACTCTGCACCCATATGGGAGACCTGGAGGAAGCTGGCTTCGAACTGGCCCAGCTCCAACCATTGTGGCCATTTGAGGAGTGAATCAGCGGATGGAAGATATCCTCTCTCTCTCTCTCTCTCTCTAACTCTGTAACTTTACCTCCCAAATAAATAAATAAATAAACCTTTAAAAAATCTGATGATAGAAATGAGTTCTGAGCCTAATATATCATAAAAAGCAATCTCATTGAAGGATTCAGGGGAACCGCCTCAGAGCAGTGGTGTTCAAGCTTCTCACAGGTTGTGAGCACCAGAGTGAAAGTGCATTGGGTAGAGGCACAGGAGTGGTGAGCACAGCTCAGGTACAGTCCTATGAAGAGTTGAGTGATGGAGTGAAATAGAGAATATCCTCTTGAAGGAAGGCTTGCTTCAGACTATACGGTATGGAATTGAGGAGCCAGCAACATACTCAGAGTTGAGAGACAGGTCACTGCTGGTTGTATAGAAGGCAGAACTGAAGGGGGCAAATGATGAGTGTGAGGCTATTGAGATACCACCATATTCATGTAGTTTTAAGGCAAAATGGTGGGGAGTGTGGCTGACCAAAGTGGGTACTAGAGGGCAGGCCACAAGAGCTGAAGAAAGATCCTTGAATTCAGGAAAGAGTATGTGGTGCTAGTTTTCATCTAGATTGCAAATTAGAGAGGGCTTGATTTCAAAACAACTTTTAATTGTACTGTTTGAAGCCATCAGCCTATAACAGATTCTAGAACTTGTAAATATAATTGTAGAATTTGTTACCTCTCATCCTTCAAAGAATGAATGTCAGCAGGTGCCAGGAACTGACCAAGAGCAGTAGTGAGAAACAGCTTAGCATGTTTACCAGTGTGTGGTTTGGAATTACAGAACTGTGTTCATGCTCTTGGTGCCACCTGCAAGACTGATGTTCTTATGCCTCTCCATGTCTCTTTTCATCATCTGTTAGTTGAGGGAATAGCACACACACCATGGGATGTTTGAGGATAAAGTAAGATGTTGCATGCATAGTGTTAGCACATTACATGCAAAGTTTCATAAATGCTTGTTGGCTTGTCACACTCCCAGGCACTGTGTTAGATCCTATGTGACTTATTCCATTTAAGACTACAGCAGCAACTGGGAGGAGCTGAAGACAAGGACAACTGGTTGGTCATGCTGCTGGAATCAAAGTCACACATCAGGGTTACATTTCAACTTTTTGTGGATTAAATTGTTTGATTTGGCTTCCTTCCACACATCTTATCATTCTTACAGTTTGCTGAAAACCTTTGGATTTTGTGTGTTGGTCACAATCTGGCAGCTCTTCTGAGCTTCTGTGAGATGTGATGTCAATGTCCTTTTCCTCTACAGATTCCTGTGCTTCTGAACCTGAGCCGAGACCCTGAGGTCAGCCTGCCTGCACCACCACTCATGTATGCCCTGGCCCTTGGTGCCTGCCTGGGAGGTAAGGAGTGCTGACTGCATGAGGCAGCATGTATGGACACTGGCGTCAAGTCTAAAACAGCAGATAGTGTGTATCAAATTGAAAGTACATTAAGGAGAGCCCTAATGACTTTCTGAAATGAAATACATCTTCAACTTTAATGGAAATGATTCCAGAGATACTCAGTCCCATAGGAAGAAATATTACAGTTTTATTTTTTTTATGGAGGGGATTGTACTTTAGAGAAATTGAAAAGTGAATTAGAGACAGTGTCAAGAGAGACTGACCTCTGGTGACCAAACAAAAGGGCTTTGGATATGGTTGTCCTGGAGGGTTCCAAGTTAGAATCCTTCTTACCTTTAGAAAGCCTAATAACCTCTGGGAACACAGGAGGATTGTGAAGAATGTGAGATAAGAACACCAGCTATATTTTAGATTTTTATCCTTATAGCCAGGCACAATTAAGTAATCCAGCTTTCTTTATTCTTTGATTGATCTATGACTACTAAATCAATAGTTTTCTTGTTAGTTTATATTCTTGTTTGTGAAGAAGGATTAATGTCACCCAATGAAGTTTCTATAATTTCTGGAGACAGTGAATTTATCTGATTCAGTGACTGAGGCTTCACATTCTTAACAGGCTGCTGAACTCTTAAGATGGTTGCTATGTAACAACCAGCCTCCAAGGAAAAGCAGTAATTCCATTCATAGCTACATTTAGCATTAGCAAGAAGCCAGAGATACCTGGAAATGCATCCCCTATGTGGGATTTTGTTCATTCAGACTTACTGAGTATCTGCTGCAGTCTGATCCTCCTTGCTGTTTAGTTGGTAGTGCAGTCAACTAAAATAAGATTGCAATGTAAACAGGCACATCTTCACTGCTAGGGAATGCCAAGGAAAGGCTGGAGGGAAAAGCCATAGAATATTATTTAGAAAGGCAAATTTTGAGTAGGGTCTTAAAGAGTAAGAAGCCACATTAGCTAGTTCTGATTCCCCCAAGACATGTGGTATGGGTATGGAGGGAATTTCTCAAGAAGAGGCATTAACATGGGCTATTTATAGGCTAATAACCTAAAATACGATTAAGCACTTTCTTACTGAGCACATTTTGAAAATAGGAATATGGGGCCGGCGCCGTGGCTCACTAGGCTAATCCTCCACCTTGCGGCGCCGGCACACCGGGTTCTAGTCCCGGTTGGGGCGCCGGATGCTGTCCCGGTTGCCCCTCTTCCAGGCCAGCTCTCTGCTGTGGCCAGGGAGTGCAGAGGAGGATGGCCCAGGTGTTTGGGCCCTGCACCCCATGGGAGACCAGGAAAAGCACCTGGCTCCTGGCTCCTGCCATCGGATCAGTGCGGTGCGCCGGCCGCAGCGCGCCGGCCGCGGCAGCCATTGGAGGGTGAACCAACGGCAAAGGAAGACCTTTCTCTCTGTCTCTCTCTCTCACTGTCCACTCTGCCTGTCAAAAAATAAAAAATAAAAAAAAAGAAAATAGGAATATGAATGTAGTGAATAAAACAGGTTTTAAGTCTTGGGCCCTTTTTAATCTGTAGTTCTGGTGATTGAAAGACTTGTTTCTGGCACAACACATACCCACTTGTGCCAGTGTTAACTCTCCTTTATCAGGGGCTCCTATCTTTTAATTGTGGTGGAATACACATAACGTAAAATTTATCATTTTAACCATCTTTAAGTGTGCATCTCAATGGAATTGGTTGCTTTTACAGTGTTCTGCAACCATCACCACCATCCATCTCCAGGACTCTTCATCCCCAACTGAAATTGTACCAGTGAGGTAGTAACTCCCATCTCCCCAAGGGCCCAGCATTTTGAAGAAGATTTTAAGTAGACATTTTCAGTCAGTTTTAGAAAAGTCATTTGGAATACAAATTGGGGAAGGGGATTCACTGAATGGTTTGAAGCAAAAAATATCACTGGCTTAACACCAATACTTTTTTTTTAACTTTTATTTAATGAATATAAATTTCCAAAGTACAGCTTATGGATTACATTGGCTTTCCCCCACCATAAATTCCCTCCCACCCGCAACCCTCCCCTTTTCCTCTCCCTCTCCCACTCCATTCACATCAAGATTCATTTTCAATTCTCTTTATATACAGAATATCAGTTTAGTATACATTAAGTAATTATTTGAAAAGTTTGCACCCACATAGAAACACAAAGTGACAAATACTGTTTGAGTACTAGTTATAGCATTAAATCACAATGTACAGCACATTAAGGACAGAGATCCTACATGAGGAGTAAGTGCACAGTGACTCCTGTTGTTGACTTAACAAATTGACACTCTTGTTTATAGCATCAGTAATCACCCTAGGCTCTTGTCATGAGTTGCCAAGGCTATGGAAGCCCCCTGAGTTCACAGACTCTGATTATATTTAGACAAGTCCATGGTCAAAGTGGAAGTTCTCTCCTCCCTTCAGAGAAAGGTACCTCCTTCTTTGATGACCTGTTCTTTCCACTGGGATCTCACTCGTGGAGATCTTTCATTTAGGTCATTTTTTTCCCCATAGTGTCTTGGCTTTCCATGCCTGAAATACTCTCATGGGCTTTTCAGCTGGATCTGAATGCCTTAAGGGCTGATTCTGAGGCCAGAGTGCTGTTTAGGACATCCGCCATTCTATGAGTCTGCTGTATATCCCACTTCCCATGTTGGATCGTTCTCTCCCTTTTTTTATTCTATAGGTTAATATTTTCAGACAGTAGTGTTGTTTATGCGATCCCTTTAGCTCTTAGTCCTATCATTATGATCAATTGTGAACAGAAATTGATCACTGGGACTAGTGAGATGGCATTGGTACATGCCACCTCTATGGGATTGAATTAGAATCCCCTGGTATGTTTCTAACTCTACCGTTTGGGGCAAGTCAGCTTGAGCATGTCCCAAATTGTACATCTCTTCCCTCTCTTATTCCCACTCTTATATTTAACAGGGGTCATTTTTTTCAGTTAAGTATCAACACTTAAGAATAACTGTATTAATTGCAGAATTCAACCAATAGTATTAAGTAGAACAAACAAAAAAATACTACGAGGGATAAAGTATTAAGTTGTTCATCAACAGTCAGGGGAAGGGGTGATCAAGTCATTGTTTCTCATAGTGTCTGTTTCACTTAAACAGGTTTCCCCTTCGGTGCTCAGTTAGTTGTCACCGATCAGGGAGAACATATGATATTTGTCCCTTTGGGACTGGCTTAATTCACTCAGCATGATGTGTTCCAGATTCCTCCATTTTGTTGCAAATGACCGGATTTCATTGTTTTTGACTGCTGTATAGTATTTGATAGAGTACATGTCCCATAATTTCTTTATCCAGTCTACTGTTGATGGGCATTTGGGTTGGTTCCATGTCTTAGCTATTGTGAATTGAGCTGCAATAAACATTAATGTGCAGACAGCTTGTTTGTTTGCCAATTTCATTTCCTTTGGGTAAATTCCAAGGAGTGGGATGGCTGGATTGAATGGTAGGGTTATCTTCAGGTTTCTGAGGAATCTCCAGACTGACTTCCACAGTGGCTTGACCAGTTTGCATTCCCACCAACAGTGGGTTAGTGTCTCTTTTCCCCCACATCCTCACCAGCATCTATTGCTGGTAGATTTCTGAATGTGAGCCATTCTAACCGGGGTGAGGTAAAAGCTCATTGTGATTTTGATTTGCATTTCCCTGATTGCTAGTGATCCTGAACATTTTTTCATGTGCCTGTTGGCCATTTGGATTTCCTCTTTTGAACACCAATACTTTTTGGTTGTTTTTTCTACTAAGAACAATTAAAATTAGTCTTAAGATCAGCATAGCCCTGACTGTTAATGAACAACTTAATACATTATCCCTCTTAGTAGTTTTTTTATCTGTTCTACTTAATATGACTGGTTTAGATCTGTAATTGATGCACAGTTATTCTTAAGTGTTGAAAATTAACTGAAATGTGATCCCTGTTGAACATGGTGGTGGGAATGGGAGAGGGAAGAGATGTATAATTTGGGACATGCTCAGGCTGACTTGCCCCAAGTGGTGGAGTTGGAAGCATACCAGGGGATTCCAATTCAATCCCATAGAGGTGGCATGTACCAATGCCATCTCACTGTTCCAGGTGATCAGTTTCAGTTCACAGTTGGTCATGGTGGAGGGACTGGGAGTCAAAGGGAGCACATAGACAAGTCTAGTACCTGCTAACGCTAACCGATGGAGTAAATAAAGGGGAGAGTGATCCAACATGGGAAGTGAGATACTCAGCAGACTCATAGAATGGCAGATGTCCTAAATAGCACTCTGGCCTCAGAATCAGCCCTAAAGGCATTCGGAGCTGGCTGAAAAGCTCATGAGAGTATTTCAGGCATGGAAAGCCAAGACACTCTGGCAAAAGATCTCTGCGAGTGAGATCCCAGTGGAAAGAACAGGTCATCAAAGAAGGAGGTACCTTTCTCTGAAGGGAGGAGAGAACCTCCACTTTGACTATGACCTTGTCTAAACAAGATAAGAGTCGGAGAACTCAGAGGGCTTCCATAGCCTTGGAAACTCATGACTGGAGCATAGGGAGATTACTGATGCCATAGACAGGAGTGTCAATTGGTAAAGTCAACAACAGGAGTCACTGTGCACTTACTCCTCATGTAGGATCTCTATCCTTAATGTGCTGTACATTGAGATTTAATGCTATAACGAGTACTCAAACAATATATTTCACTTTGTGTTTCTATGGGGGTGCA